TCAGCATCAGGTTGTTTAATTGGGCTTGCTCTGTTTTTCTAATATGAGCATTCACTGCTATGAATTTCCCTTGTAAGATTGCTTTCATTGTGTCCCATAGATTCCAATATATTGTATTGTCATTGTCATTTAATTGTAGGAACTGTCTGATTTCTTCTTTAATTTCTTCTGTGACTCACTGGTTATTCGGAAGCATGTTGTACGATTTTCATGTGTGTATGAAATTCTTGTGGTTTCTTTTGCTGTTGATCTCCAATTTCATCACACTAAGGTCTGATAATATACAGGGATAACATCAATTCCTTTGCACTTACTTAAACATGTTCTATGGGCAAGTATGTGGTCTATTTTGGAGAATGACCTGTGTGTGCAGCTAAAAAGAATGTGTATTCTGATTTGGTAGGGTGGAACACTCTGTAAACATCTGTTAAATTCATTTGTTCAAGAGTTTGATTGAGTTCTAGTATTTTGTTGCTTATTTTTTGTCTAGTTGATTTATCTATTTGTGACAGGTGGGTATTGAGGTCCCCCACTACTATTGTATTAGTGCTTATCTGATTTTTCATGTCCATTAATATTTGTTTTATATAGTTGGGTGCACTAGTGTTTGGTGCAAAAATATTTGTGATTGCTATGTCTTCCTCTTGGATTGTTCCCTTTACAAGGATGTAGTGTCCTTCTGTGTCTCTCTTAATCAGAGTTGGTTTGAAATCCACTTGATCTGCAAAAAGAATAGCTACTCCTGCTTCTTTCTGGGTTCCTGTCACATGGAATATTGTTTTCCACCCTTTAACTTTCAGTCTATGAGTTTCTTTTTGAATTGTGTTTCTGGTATGAATCATATTTTTGGATCTTGCTTCTTGACCCACTCTGCCAGTCTATTTCTTTTGAGTTGTGAATTGAGACCATTAACATTGAGGGTTATCACTGATACGTATTGACTCATCATTGTCATGACTTTTTTCTTTTTGTTGGATTCTCCCCCTTTGCATTTAATTTCTTGTTGCTCCCAATGGATTCATTCTGCTGAGTTTCCTGGGGTTGTGATCCTCATTTTCTTTTCCTAGGATATTGTCTAAAATTTTTTGGAGTGCTGGTTTGGTATTCATGAAGTTCCTAAGATGCTCTTTGTCATGAAAGTATCTTATTTCTCCATCAATTTTGAAAGATAGTTTTGCAGGGTACATCAGTCTGGTTTGGAGGCTGTTTTCCATTAGGACTTGGAATACATCACTCCAAACTCTTTTTGCCTTGACGGTTTGTATTGAGATATCCACTGTGATTCTGATGGGCTTTCCTTTGTATGTGATTTGTTTCTTTTCTCTGACTGCTTGTAGAACTTTGATCTTCTGTTAGATTTCTGGAATCTTAACAATTATGTCCCCATGTGTAGAGTTTTTTTGATCAAGGCTAGTTTGAGTCCTATATGCCTCACTTATCTGTATGTCAAGTTCTTTTCCCATGCTTGGAAAGTTTTCTGCCATTACTTCTGTGAACAGTTTTTTTTTTTATGTCATCTGCACTCTCTCCTGTTTCATGGTTGACTCCAATCAGTCTTATGTTACTCTTCTTTGCATTGTCTAGCAGCTGCTGGATTGATTTCTCGTGGTCCCTTTGAAATTTTGAAGCAATTTTTCTTTTCCTCATCACTAATTGCAATCTTATTTTCTGTATCTGAAATTCTGTCCTCACATTGGGTCATTCTGCTGTGTCGACTTTCAATGGCATTTTTAGTCTCCTGGAAGTCTGTTTGCATCTGTTTTATGGATTCCATTTGTTTCCTACATTGGTATTCCATCATGTTCATCAGCTCCTCTTTAGATTTATTAGTCATGTCTTGCACTATGAGCACAATTGCTGCTGTTATCTGAGAAATTATTTCTGATATCATTTTTTCCAGATCCTCTTTTGTTGGCAGTTCAGGGAGTCCAGGTGGTTGAGTATCAGAGTGTTCCATCTTATTTCCCTTTGGGGTTGCTGTAGGAGATCTGGAAGTCTGGTTCTGAGATGTGTTTATGTGTCTTCTCATTTTGACAGGGTTGGGGGGAGTGGGAGGGGTGCATGTGCTGCTGGCACACTTTCCTGGGAGCAGTGGTACAGCAGCCCAGATGCCTCCTCTGCACTGGGACAGGTGGTAAGGAGGCCCAGAAGCCTCCTCTGTGCTGGAAGCAGTGCTCCCTGGATGGCTCTTGTCAGAGATAGTCACTGTATTTTTTATCACACATGGTAATGACACTTACTAATGAGGACTTCCAGAACTGCTTCAGAAAGTGACAAGAAGGATAGGATAAGTGTGTTCCAAGCAAGGAAAAGTATTTTGAAAGAGATTGGTGGTAGTATGTATTTTACTGTAATAAATTATTAAAATTTATATATTTGCTGTATACTTTGATCATACTGCCTATAAGAACAACTATTGAAAATTGACACAAATTCTATGTCATTTTAATAGTTCTGTAATTTTTCAAGTTCTCTACTGTCAGTATTAACTAAATCATTTCTGTGCGCTCTATGGTCACAATTACAAATTATATGGATTCTCATTTGTTTGTCTCATCTCTTCCTCCACATAGCTACAGTAAAAAGGCAAACACATCAAAGTCAATATACACAAATCTTACAATGTACAAAGGAGGTACTAAGACTGTTTACATAGTTTGGATTGTCTATATTTTTATAAAATCCTGAATCATTGATACAATGTTTAGATCTTTATTTTGAAAAAAATTGGAAATTATTTCAATAAAATAAACAAAATATAATTAAATATATGAGAGGCAATAAAAAGAATCCAAATACAAAGTGTCTCAAAAGTCAGAAATAGTGACAGATATTATTGTGTTACAGTTACCAGAAAAACTGAAAACAACTTACAAGTTGCTACATTGAGAGAAAATGAAAGAGAATATTAGCAGTATCTTTACAATACTGCCTGCAACAAATGAAATCAGTTTTACTTGATCTTTAGGAATCTGGATATATAAGTAATCTTTGGGGGACACTAAGTCAACAGGATTTAAGTTAAATTATGATCAACATAAGACATAATTATTCTTTATTTTTAGATTTAAACATAAATTCATATTGTCATGTAGAATATTTCCTGTAGAGTATTAATTTCTAGCCCTTCATTTAAAATAATTGCCAAAATTATAATTATATTGGTTCATTTTGTCATTCCATCAGGAATTTAAAGGCATTTGTTCTCACAGTTGCAACTTTTGTTTCAACATCTTGAAGTCTTTCACAGGTTTTTTGAAAAGCAATTATATCAAGAACAAACTTTTCTTCACAGTGTCTTTTATGTATTTCTTGAGTCCTGCAGGGGAAAAAGAAAGACAATGTGGTAATTTTAGAACACTGAAATCATGACAACTAAACTGTTAGTAATGACAATTGGATTTCATCAAAACACATATATAAATTATAAAAAGAAATCCATTTATATTATCATATCTTTAAATAATATTCATATTGGACTAATATTTGTTAAGATTTCCATTGGCTAAAACTGAAAATTCTTACAAACCATCTGTTAGACTCCCCAAAAGCCATCTAACAGCCCATGTCATAATTTGTAGAACTTCTACTTAACCATCTCCAAATCCAAGCTTCTTCTAGGACACTGTTATGGAAAGAATGCACCTCCCCAAAATTCATGTTAAAACCATAGCCCCAGGACCTTAGATCACAACTGCATTTGGAGCTAGGGCTTCTCAGAGATTAGTAAGGTTAAACGAAATCCCATGGACAGGTTCTGATACAATATAATGTTTTCAGAAGTGTACCAGAGATCAGTGATGCACACTCACAGAAGAAAGGCCCTATGAGAACATAGCTAGAAGGCAGCTGCCTGCAACCCATGGGGACAAGACTCAAATCTTAGGGTTTAGTATAGGACTAAATGAGTTAATACTTTAAAAATTCTTAGAGGAATATTTAGCAATTCCTTTTATTGGGTGGATAACAATGATATTCATCAGAACAGGAAATGAAGGAAGGACAACCAGATGGGAGAAAAATTATAAGTCTCTTTGAGTAATGTTGATTTTCAAGAGTCTGGCTATCCATTCTTATGCCTAGGGAGCTTCACATAGGGAGCTTAACATAGCATAACATCTGTTAAGAGGTAAGAGTTAAGAGTTAAGAGTTAGTATAGCCATTCTTCTTATTTAAAATTCAGCTCTGAAGCTCACGGTATTTCAGATGATTCATATAAGCTCTCTCTGCCCATTTTCATCTTTAGGCAAAGGCAATCCAACTCACAAGGTTTAGTAAGAAGCTACTGAACTAACACTGTGAAAGACTAATACTCTGAAAACTAATACTCTTAAAGAATTGCCTAACATTTAATAATCATTCAATGAAAGATAGCTACTACTCTTACGAGTCTGGAGATCAATAATTTAGTCATCTCTGAACCTTTACTAAATTAGAAATCATGGCAAAAAAGAAGACACATACAATAAAGGGTATTAGTTAAGTATGGAGAGTTTATTTAATTAACCATCTCCACAAATAAAGATTATAAATTATGGATAAAATATAAAGAAAAAAACCTTAAAGGAATTTAAAAGTGAGACATACCCAGTAATCAATTGTATTTCTACATACCAACAACAAACAGTTGGAAAAATGAAATCATATTACATTTTGAATATGAACAGAGAACCGTAAAATACTTCGAAATGAATTTAATAGAAGAAAAAATAAAGATATCCAAGGCCTGTACCTGAAGATAAGAAAATATTGCTGATGAAAATTTAAAAGACCTTAATCAGTGGACAATTATAGCATGCCAATATTATTAAGCTTTCAATTCTCCCCAAAGTGACACTTAGATTCAAAATAATGCCTATTTGTATGGCAAGAATGTTTTGGCAGAAATTAACATTTACATTTGTTTTAAATATATATATTACATTTTAAACTTATTTAATTTAGACCAATTCAGAATGCATTAAATTTAAGTGTTATGAATTTATTAAGTTGTAATTTGATATGGAAATGCAATGGAATTGCAAACCAAAGCAACCTAGCAACAACCAAAGCAAACTTGAATAAAGAAGGACAAAATTGAAATCTCCATTTTCCATGCATTTGTGTGACAAATTATCATAAATATGCTTGCTTACAACAACCCTATGTTATCTCATAGTTTCCATGGGTCAGGAGTCTGGGCATGGCATGCTCAGTTGAATTACATGCATAGCTCTCATAAGGTTAAAATCCAGCTGTTATCCATGGCTGTGGCTCCCAATCAGGTCTTGAGGCTCTCTTCCATGATCTCTGTCTTCAAAATTCATTTTCTTCTCATACATTTATGTGCACCTTCCATTTTCACATCAGTAAGTAATGTCAAATGCTTCTCAGACTTTGAATCTATCTGACTTTCTCTTTTGCTTCTGCATTTAAAGTGTAATATGATTACACACTGCCTACTTTGATAATCTAATAATCTCCCTATTTTAATGAGGCTTTACTGAAATCCTTCATTACATATGTAGAGTTCCCTTTTACCAGGACATTCACAGGTGTGGTGTCTCAACATATTAATAGTCCTAGAGATTAGAGTATGGTATCCACCTTCTTAGGAACCATTATTTTGACTAATACAGGTGTCTCATATTATTTGATTATAAGGGCTACTAAGAGTACATAGAATATTACCTTTAATAATGGAAACCTAATCTTGAGATAGCAGTAAAGGAAGTTGTGATAAATTCATGAATTTATAGAATTTTATAGACATTGATATGGTAAATCCAGTGAATTCAAAATTGAAGGCCTAGAATTTCTTTGGGAAATGAAGTAGTATGCTGAGAATTAGAGGCCATATGTGCATTTTCATAGGAAGCTCTAGAGTTGGAGAAAGTTTGAAATTGCTCTTGTAGGTAGTGGGGACAAGTAGAAGTGACTAAGGGAACAGATAAAGTTGTAGGTCATAAAATTAATACCGGCATAAATCTACAAGTCAGTGATTTTTTTCTTGCCATTTTTAATCTGAATGAAGTGAAGACAGATAACTGGATTGTTCTAAGGTTAGAATTTGTGATGGAGGGGAGTTAGCATTGGAGATACAATGAGAAAAAGGACTGTAGTCACTGGACAGAATGGACAAAGCAATGTTTAAAGAATCCTGGAGCCTACACTAGAGACGAGAAGAAAATAAATGTATAACAGAGATTATTTAAGCAATGAATGTGATCACATATTTGAAGACTTTGTGGGTGAAAGTAAAGGAAGAAAATAGTTGAAAAGATAGATTTTAATCACAAATAAGTGTACAATTATTTAAGATTTGAGAAGTAGGGTGGTTCCATTTAATGAGAGGGTCTTTATGTGTTTATGTGAATGAGTTTGTTAATGTTAGATATGATAAAGATTGTAGAAATTCAATAAAGTGTCTGTGAGGCAATTGGGAGTGTAGTTCTCAAGCATCTGGAAGTTAACGATGATTATGGTGAAGGTTGGTTGCAGGAAAGCTTTATAAATAAGAATACAAAGGCCACAGTGAATAACGAAGGTAATATGAGATCAACTGGGACCAAACAAGTAGAAAATAATAAAACTGCATAACCACCTTATTTGCTAGACTTTTGTGTTAGCTAATTCACTACTTCAAAATGGAAACCCTGCTGTCCTGCCCTGAGTTGTGTCATCACTTTCTGGGGTGTGGCCAAGAACAGAATTGGGAAGCCCATGGCCAGTTTTTATCAGGTATAGAGACGCTTTCATTTCAGCCTCTTTAATTCATGCTTAAATAAGTCTGTGAATCATTTATCCACTTCCTAAATTAGACCTCTTTTTTTACCTTTCTCCTTTTTTTTCCCCTCCCTCATTCCACAGAGGGAGCAATATTTTCAGTGATGACTTCAGGAATTACTGAGATTCATCAAAATGCTCTCAGGTCAAGTGACTGATATATTAAGTGAAGACCAACAGCCTAAAAAAGTATCAGAACTGGATAAAAATGTTGAAGTTGATTTTTTTTTGAGTCACAGTTCCTTTCTGCTTGTTAATATTCAATCTTTATTTAGAAACATTTAGAATAAAACTCAATAATATCTTTTGGGACATACTACTGATATAAGCAACACATTGTCTTATTCCTGTATGCTTTCAAGGATTGTATCTTTGCAGAAACTTACAAGAAAAGATAGTTAAGTTAGGTACACTGGGAAGATCATGTGACTGTATCTGGTTCAAATTAATTGCCAGTCATTCAATTTGCTGTCATAAAAATGAAACTGATTAAATAGACTTGTATTTTGATATACTAGACTAGCCTTCATTGCCTCTTCCAAAATAAATTTTTAATAAAATATAGAAAATTATTTCCAAAAGTTGCATATGCATGCATAAAGCATTTACTGAGAAAAATAACTGTAAATTTGTGGCAGAATAATATATTTTTCATACTTAAGAAAATACTTCTTATAACTATCAAAAGGCAAATGTGTTTTTCTTACTTAAAATTTTCCTAGCTGAGCATGTTGGTACAGGTCTGTAACAAGAGGCTGATACAGGAGCAAAGCAAGTTCAAGGCCAGCCTGGGCAACCTAGTGAGACCTTCTGTCAAACTGAAAAATGAAAACGTCCAGGAGTACTGTTCAGTGGTAGAGCATTTGCCTAGCGTGTCATAACCCCCAATTCAGTCTCCAGTCTCTCTCTCTCTCTCTCTCTCTCTCTCTCTCTCTCTCTCATACACACACACACATACACAAAAAAATTTATATATGTTAATCACAGTAATTAAGTTTTTAGAGAAATAGGAGGCCATAAAAGTCTCTAAGTATTTTAATATAAATATAAATCCTAAAAAATTATATACATGTATATTATAAAATATATACATATGCAATATGTGTAATAATATTATACCTATATAATTAGAAAGATGATGGACAGATGGGGCACTTAAAATATCACTATTGCAAAACTGTTGTTGATTAGCTTCAAAATATGAAGACGTGTGAAAGATTTTGAAAAAGTAAAAAGAAATTACTTGGTGTTCTGTCTAGCATATCATTCAGAACTCCCTATGCCTTTCAATCTCTTTCAGCTATTCTACTACCCTATACACTGAACAAACTGTGAATAATGTGATTCATTTTTAATAGAAATGTAAATACATCTTTTCTAGTGAGTATACAATTGATTATTTCCCAGTAGATATTGACTAGTTCTGCATATACTTCTAAATTTATTTTGGTATTCCTTATTTTCTACATATAGACATTTCTAAATTCTCATTTGGAGCAGTTGTGACATATTATGTTATTTTTCATTACTGGATTAAGTAAAAGTTTTGGGTGTGCACATATTATATTTGTATGTGTCACATATTTTATGTTCCTAAGTATATTCTTTTTTTAAAATTCTTTTATTGGTACATCTGAGGTATACAATATGTTTACATTTATCAACTGGTACTTGTACCTGTACATGGTGTATCTTGGTTCTTATTTTTTTTCCCCATTACCTGTGTGTCCTTCGCCCCCTCCACCCTTCCCTAAATATATTCTTTGACAACTAATGAAATTTAACTACATATAGATTGAGATATTTTGAGTCAATCATCTTTGAGTGTCTATCTCACTAAGTTTAGTTTAAATCAAAAAGTCTTCATCATAAAAAAGTAAGTTTTTTTGCATGTGTCTCAGACAAATTGTTCAGTTTGTTCTAGGGATTGTTTTCCCATCTGTTTATTGAAAAGAAGACTTCACGGTAGAATACATATTTAAAATTCACCATTTCTTTCTATAGGATTCCTAGTGGTCTTTACTCATGTGAAGTCCACTGAGACTTAGTGACTTTTTCTAATTGAGTTCAATTTGTTTCTCAAGGAATTACACTTTCAACTACTCTCCTGTATAATTCTTCTGCTACAGGTACAAAGATACTCATTACCTCCTTCTTCTCCTCACATTTTACCTATTCTAAACTTTCTAAATTTGCTCATTCTCTTCTCCCTGCCTGTAATAGTCTCTCAACATCCTGTACTTTCCCTAAATTTAATATATAATTGTACTTTTTCTTCTACTTTTTGTGAGAATTCTAATGTGTGCTCATGTTTGTCACTGACTGTGAGTTTTTAGAGGAGCAAGAATGTCATCCATCTTTGTATGGAGGGCAGGGGAGAAGTTAAGTCAATTTGCACTTGGATATTAAGTTAAGCTAGCTTTGTAGAAGTTTTGATGGAGTGCAGGAAATGCTATCCAAAAATATGGCACCTTAGCATATTGAGATTTTTAAGTTGAAGCAAACTGTGAAAACTATAGAAGCAAAAGATTTCTCTAAAGTTCTCCTGTCCCCTTCCTTCTAAAGACAATAATGTGATCGATTTCCTGTTCTGTACCTGGAGGGAAGTGAATGTTACACAAAGAGGGCAGAAAAAACATGAAAAACAAACCTTGCTAAGTTCTGCCCAGTCTATTACCATTTAGATCATCCATCTTCCTTGTCCAACCATATTTCAATTCAACAGTTCATTTATCATCAAAATTCTAGGCATAGTTTTCCCTAAACATCTGGCTCTTCATTTCTGAAGGTTTTCATGCTTTATAAAATTTTTGATTAAATAAATTTGTTATGTTTTTCTCTAGTGAATCTGTCTTTTGTTAAAGCAGTCTCAACCATGAACCTTGTGACAGGTGAGGAAGCAAATATTTTTTCCTTTCAGTTTTGTGTTACTTGCACTTATTATCTACGAGAAATTTTAATTCTCTCTTGATAATTTTTGTGTTATTGCTTGTATGATTATTTAACTCTGGTGGTCCTATTGCCTTATGCCTTACATTCTAGATTTTCCAATTCTGGGCCAAATGATCTCTATGGCGCCCTATTACATGTGATAGGAATCTTTAAAAGCTAAAAGGGAATCACTGCTCTAATTTAAGTAATCTGTGAACTGAAAATAAGTGCCCCTTGAGCAAAAGGCCAATTACCAGTAAGAGAAAGAAAAAAAAATATGAACAAGTTTATTGTCATGAAATACGCCATTGTGCCAAAATAGATAACTATTCCAATTACTAGTGAAGCTAGTTTCATAGCTTGGTTAATTATATTTTTATATAATTCATTTAATAATCTTAGCTGGGGATGTAGCTCAGTGGTAAAGGTGCTTGCTTAGTATTCACAAGGCCCTGGGTTTAATTCTCAGCACACACACACACACACACACACACACACACACACACACACACACAATCTTCATTATACAAACTCTGGAAAAATATGCACTGTTTCATTCTAGTAGCTAACATATGGAGAATAAATAAGAGAAAACACTCAAACTTCTCAGAGACTATAGTATGATTTAAATTAAGTTATACTTCACTATTACTAATTGGAATTTATATTTATTTTCCTTGATAAATATTTACTGAATTCATTAATTAAACACAGTGCTAGGCTCTGAAGTGGAAAGATGGACCAAATTATAAAGGACTTCACAAGCTAATTAACTATGATATACACTTTTTACTGACAGTTGTTAGACTTGAGATGATGAACATAAGGGTGAAATATAGCTGCCCGCAGCCAAGTATTGGCCAGTTGTAATGTGCTTCTTTCAAGGAAAGAATGCCTTTTCCTTCACATTTAATCACTGCTTACTCACTAATTTGAATACCCCAAAGCATTCTGATTTGCATAATATGTAAAATATAGACAACTTTAACGTGGTTGTCTAGTGTCCTAGCAGAGCACACATGTGAGGGAAAAGCCTTAGCAAATACAGAGATAAGAAAGCTGAAAGATGGATGGAGTGGAGACTCATTCTGTCTAGAGCAGAGTGCTGTTAGGTGAAGAGGGCAGAAACTGTACAGTAGAAAATTTAGAGTAAGATGATAGTAGAGTAGAGCATATTTTCTGAAATGCCACTTGGAGGAGATTAAATTTCATTCTTTTGGGAATTGCAAGCTATCAACATAGTTAAATAGGAAATGACACAATCAGAACTTTATTTAAAAACAGTTGAGGTCCATAGGTTAGCAAACAGATGTGTGATGAAGATTTGAGAATAGAGATAGGAATCTCACTTGGAAGGATAATGTGAACTCTTATATTAGGAGAGTTTGAATTGGAAGAAAAGAGATAATATTTTAAAAAGACCTATTTGAAACACTCCTTCTAGAAGGAATAAGATAGGAAAACACATTCGATTTCGGCACTGAGGGAGCCTGAATTGTAAAGGACCCAGGTTTCTGGCACTGATCAGAAGGCTAATGGTAATGCTAGGACGAGAACATCTAAATTAAGCTGGTTTTGAGCAGTGAGACTAAGAAGTGGAAGGAAGGAAGAATTACTGCCTAAGCTTTCATAATAAATTTGTGCGTTATTTCTCCTGTTTGTTTACATTGCCAAAGTAGAATGTAGCAGGCTACAACCAAAATACCGTTTATTAAAATTCAGTATTTGGTATGCAATATTCACATGTAATTGATGTAAAAGATTCTATCATATATAAACTGTGCTTACCTATATTCCTTCACCTGGTGACGTAAAATCTTTTGATATTTTTCTTCTTTAAGTTTTTCCTGAATCAGTTTTTTCTTTTTTAGGACAGTCTCATTCTGGTTCAATCTGTCGATTTTAACCATTCCTTTGAGCAAGAGGGTATGCTCATTATTTAAGTTTTGAATTAATAAGTGGTCTGCAGCCTTCTGGGTTTTTTTTGTTCTAGAAAAAGCATTCTTCTCTCTTTAACTTTTGCAAGATAGTTTAATCTTTCCTGCAAAACTTGCTGTAAACCTCTCTGAATTGTCTTGTTATGTCTTTCACTCATCTTCTGTGCAATACATTTTTTCTTGTTTAAATTTTCATCAGCAGTTAGGATAATTCTTTCTTGGGCAGCTTGTGCCCTGGCTACAGCTTTTACTTTTTCTTTATGGAGGTCCAGCTTCTTTTGTTCTACGTAATATTTATCTACATCATTAAGCATTTGGAATTTTATGCCAGGTCCCTGTGTAGAAAATATCTCTCTTCTCTTCCTCTCTGATACTGTGTGTTTTTTAATTAGTGGTTTTGGATGAATGATAGAAAATGGTTGGGTGAGGGCAGGAAAATAAACTTCTTGCTTCTCTTTCAATGCTTCAGCGTACTTCAGTGGACTTGAAGTGCATATGGGTAGTTTGAGTGCTGATATATTAAAACTGGTGTCCAATTCTTCATCCTCAATTTCATCTTTAGATTCCTGACCTACATAAGACAGCAGATAAACATAAAACATGAGCTACGCTTATTTTCTGCCCAAATTAGTTTGAAAGCTATATTAATAAAACTGATGAGAACCTGTTATTTACTTTACTAAACACCATTTTCCCCAAGTTCTTTTTCAACTTGAGACTTTGCAGAGGAAAATTACCATTAGAATTTTTTAAACACATAAATGCATTGAATCAGATTTCTATATTTTCTATATTATCTCTAATAATTATTTAATTTGCACTGACTCAATATTAGCATCTTCTCTTATACACAGTACTTACACATATTTTTCATATAGTTTGCTAAAATACGAACTAGGCAAATTCAACTGAGCAGAGTGTAACTCAGCCAAAAGCAATTCATTAATCAGCACCATCCCGAACCGAGGGAAGTTCAAGAGCTCCTGCTTCCTAGCAGAAAGTGCTTCTAGCAGAAAGCAGAAGTGATGTGTACAGAAGCAGCTTGATTGGTTATAGCTCTTTGTTTGCCTCACTTGGACATAGTCTGATCCAACTGAATGCCCCTGATTGAGTGAAGCTTGGTTGCTCTGATTGGAATGTGGCTTGGCTGTGTGTTACAAAAACACTACCCTTAAATAAGGCTTTAAGTTTGTTTACATACAAGTAAGATTGGCCGGTTATGTAAGAGATCAAGATATGACGCAGCTGGAGGCCACATTTGATTTAACAATCTAGTAATGTTTAACAAGAACATTGTAATTATAATCAATTTTATGTTATTTTCTTAACTCTTGTAGAAAATGATAGTTGCCATCAAATTGTTTTTTTGTCTTTGTTGAATAGACAAAGAAACTAGGAAAGGAAGGGAAAAGAGTTAAAAAGAGAACTGAAGGAAAAATGGAAATAGAGCTTTTGGAAATGGAAAAGCGAAGAGAGTTGGAGAGAGAAGGAAAAGATGGGAGGGGAAGGAGACAAAAACGAGTTAAGATATGTTATGTAAATGTACAAACTCCCCACAATAAATGTAATTATTACGTACGACAAACAAGTACTAATAAAAAAAGAAAAATCAAAAAATTGCACACTAGAAAGGACAAATTTTGTTTATAAACTACATCACCTTATAAAAGGGGATAAAAATAATTGCTTAAATTTGGCAGCAATATACTTTTTTATGATTTCTATCCATTGATTCAAGGTCTACCCTCATAGCACATGTGTGCCATTTTCTTCATAACAGCATTTGAAACAGCTCTCTGGTAACCTGGTTCAGTTCTCAGGGTGCCTAAGATTTTTTTAGGAGATCTACAAAGTTATTTTTATAGTTATACTGTCTTTATTTGCCCTTATCACTTTGTTGACATTTACACTGATGGTACAAAATAATTGTGATAAAACTCTTGGCATATTAGCATAAATAAAGGCAGTGGGGTGCCAATATTTATATCCTTCACCTCCATGCAAAGTTTAAAATAAAAAATTTCTAGTTTTACTTAAATAAAAAATAAAAAGAAGAAAAAAGGCAACCAAAAAAAAAAAAAAAAAGAAAGAAAGAAACTAAATCTCTCACCCTACTCTAGGATTTTTTGTCCACTTTCCAGTAGAGTGTTAACAGAGTCACAGTGTATCATTTTCTTTTGTGGCAATTATGTTTGAGGTGAGATATATTTTGGGGTCTATTTCTTACCCTAGCCAGCATAAATAATACAGAAACTAAAATAATATTGTTATTCGTGTATTTATTTTTTGACAAACCAACTTACGAATTCAGGATTGGTTAGTAAATACAGATATAAAAAGACATAATCTTAGGAAAAATATTTCCCTTTGCTTTACCTACTAAAATTACCTCCCTGCCAACTCTAGTCTGTAAGGATTTTATCTTCTTTAATAGTAAATTCACTTATTGTCTTTATATGTCAAAATGGCAAATCATATGTTTGTGATTTTATGGAATTGTGTTGTAAACTGGCATTAGGAAGGAAGGAAATAGTCAAGAATTTTACTGAAAGCCAAAGTAGCTTCCACATCAGAAAAGTAAGCAAAGTCTGCAACAAAGCAGGAAAGAAAGCCAACAAAACAAAACAAAACAAAACAAAAAGCAATCCATTTGGTTACAAAGGCAAACCGTCAGAAATAAATACTGAAAGTTTGGGTCCAAGACAAGATGCTGGAAACCTTTATGTCAATTGAATATCATCTCACTAGTACTTCTGAAAGTCTTCAAATTTCCTTCTCTGCTTCAAGAACTTCTGGGTCAAGAAATTACTAGGTGCTGTAATATTTATCTCATTAAAATGTGATTCTAATTGTGTCACATCTTCTTTCTTTCTTTCTTTCTTGGTACTGGGGATTGAACTCGGGTCCTTGTGCTTGCGCAGCAGGCAGCGAAACCACTGAGCTAAATCCCCGGCCCTGTGTCACATCTTATATGTAAACAAAAGGAAACAAAACTTTCATGGTTCTTCATTTACAAGATGACTGATGGTTTCAACTTTTAGACTAGGGTTATATATTATTGGAAAAAAAGCTTTGTTTTCCCCTTATCCATAGATTACATCTTCTCATCATTCGGCCTTTGCATAGCTTCTGTTATGTTTTGTTCACTATATGTTTCCTTATTTATATCTTATCAAATTCTATCAATTCTGAAGGACTATTCATATGTCATTTTTTACATTAAGCAAGAACTGATTTTAAAATTTATACTGATTACTTCCCTGTTTAAATCTCTTTAGAGTTCACATTCCACTTATATTAAAGATGTAGTAGTTCTTAGCTATAGTATTAAGCTAGATATAAAGCTCCTTAAGACTTAGGACCTTCTTTGATCCTATACTGCTAGTCTCTGGCTTAGTATTTTACAAAGCATTTGCTTTATGGGGAAATACAGTTCAATAAAGAATGTATGCCCAGTGAGTATATTTGTTAGATGGATGCGTAGATAAATGGACAAGTAAATCTGGTAGTTAAGAATAATATTGCCTGAAGTATGTAAGAGCCACAATGGAGTCAACTTGACTGGGTCCAAAGACTATTTCTATCACCACGTGTTCTAGGGAAGTGATGTAATTATCTGGGCCTCAGTTTCCTGTAATTCATATAATAATATCTAACTTATAGAGTTCTTACTGTATTAAATGAGATAATAAAATGTAAAATGCCAGTGAAGTACGCTACATGAGTATTAAAACAGGGTCTGACAAAGAGTAAAATATACTGTAGTTACTTTTTCATTATATTCAATATGCAAAACAAGAGACTTCTCTCTTTAATTCCATCAAAAACACAGTGTTCAATGAGCCACATGATTTGATAAAGAGGAAAATACATTTTGTCACCTTCAACATTCACTGGAAATTAAAAAGCAAAATGTACAGGAGAAAATTCTCCATATGCATATTTTGTTTGAAGACTAGATAACATTTCTCCTTTTTTTGTTCAAAGAGGAGCCAACTGTTGAAAATGCTCTCCTCTTTCTATGACCAAATTTACAAACTTGCCTGTATGTTCATAAATCCCTTTCTAACCTGGTGAATAAAGGGAGCATTCTTTCTTTCAACAGAGATAAAATTCACCCTTTAAGTTTGGTCCTCTCCCCTCTTAACCTCCATATCCAGCAATGCTCCCATCACATCCACAGCCATACTCCTTCAGCTCGCTGCCCAGATACCATTCAAAGATTTTGTTCAATCTTAGATAAAACCATGGAGGGCATTATCTCTTTGCATGATCATAGTCCTTTTCTTCACCCTCTATGAACTTTTCAAATCAGAAATATATGTTACCTCTATTCTTCCCACTATACTATTTAAATGGTTCCATTAAAGGGTTTTGCCTTAGTGACTTTCTTATCGCTGAAACAAAATCCCCAACCCATGAGATTAAAAGGAGGTGAAATTTATTTTGGCTCACAGGTTCAGAAGTTTCAGTCTGAGTTCTGCAGTCTTAAACACAGACACAGCATTGTGGAAGGGCCTGGGCAGAGGACAGCTGCCCCTGTCATAATGGTCAGGAAGCAGAGAGAAGCATGTAACCAGCTAGGAGACCCTTCCAGGTCACCCCCAACAGCCTGCGGGTTCAAACCAGACCTCAGCCTGTGAGAGTTGTGGGTGCATCACCCCCATGATTCCATCACCTTCCAAAAAACTGCCAACAGGTGCATGAGGCCTTTGGGATACATTCTTGATCTAAACCATAACAGCTTTTATGATATTAAATACAAATGGAACTTTTTAATGTTTTAATATTGCTGAAAATCTCAGTGGCATTTTACTTCCTTGAGCATCTATCCTTCTTGGAACCCCCTTTTTACAGACTCTGTAATACCAACCTGTACTACTTTTTCTTCTACCTTTCAGATTGTTCCTTCCTACTTTTGTTTACAGTCACTCGTTTTCTACCAAATCTCTTCATGTTGGACTCCCTGAGGACTTGATACTAGGCCCCCTTTCGTCTCTCTCTGCTTTGTAAGTGAATATTGCTCACAGATATAAATGCTAATGTCTACACTGATAACCCTCAAATTTTTCATTTCTGTTTGCAAATCTTTTAGGTGTATTTTAAGCTTGGCACCTTACCAAGCTCTTTGCTGCCAAAAATCTATTCCCTCTAAATAAGCCCTTATTTCAGTAAATATTACTTAATTGTTTAGAGTCTCACTTAACCTTTATCAATATGCATTATAGATTTTACCTCCAATTGTAGATCAAATTAATTGATCTTTCTTCATCTCCTATTCTTGACTTCACCTCTTATTTTAACTGTATCACCTGCTTCTTAAGCAGTGTCTACATTTAACAACACATAAACAATTCATTGTTTACTTATAAAATGAAACCTTCCAAATCCTCATAACTGCATGTTTATATCCAAGATATGCATGAATTGTGGGGTAATTATCCAGAAAATTATTGACTGTCAGAATGACAAATGACAAAAATAAGGCCAACTCATTTGACTGCAGTTTTACAAATGAAAGTTGGATTTGACTTGGTTGAAAAAAATACTGGGTACTGTCTTGAACCATGG